TGGATCTACTAAGCAGGATCAGACTTTTGTTTGTTTTTCTTTTGTTTTGTTGTTTTTTGTTTGTTTTGTTTGCTGGTGGGGATGGTTATGGGTTTTTTCTTTGTTTTTTTTTTTCCCTTTTTTTTTTTTTTTGCTTGTTTTGGGTTTTTTTAACCTTCATTTATAAAATCTTTAAAATTCTGCTCTGCATAGAGAACTTGGTTGTCCTTGATATTAATACTGTTCAAAAATTGTTTCCAGCAAGACTAAAATATTCAGACATAACTATACCGTCATAGCAAACCACTACTGGATTGTCTTGGATTCTTTTAGAAAGAGGAACAGTTTTTCTGAGCTAGACTTACCATACACTGACCCTCAAGGATAGGTCTAAAGACCTGCTGTGGTAGATGCATCTCGCAGAGGATAAGAGCATACATGAAAGAGAGAGGTGAGGAGATGACACCTACAAATTAAGTGCTAAATATATCAGCTTTAAAGAAAAGTAAAATCCTATTCCTTAAACTACATAAAGAAATTGGTCTCAAGTAATTTTTCTTTTTATCTCTACATTTAAATATGATGCACTTTATAACTTTCAGAAGCCTCCAAAGAAGGCTGAAAATACCACTTTTCTTAAGACCTAAAGCTCATTACAGGGTACATTTATTTTTAATACTATCAAAAGTATGTGAATTATGGGTGCCACCATCAGTACATTAATCTCCCAAAACACAGTAGAACTGTAAATATTAGTACCTTATAACTTCTTTGTGTTAAAAAATATTCTTCCAAAATGTTATATAAATAGTGTCCTGAAGCAGGGTTTGATTTTGTTTTGTTTTACATTAGTAGAATGATTTCCCCTCCATTGGAAGCAGTGTAGAAAAATGTGCTCAAGCAGAACTGTTTGCATGCTCCACTCATCTAGATTATAACAGAATTAAAGGTATTGTTACTTTGATGTTCTATCTTTGGGAATTTCACTAGATAGATATCCTCATATGTTTGTGATGATCAGGTATCAAATAAATGCTGTTATCTAATGTTGACTGCTTTTGGTGGATAAAATGGACAAAATGCAGAGAAATAAGGCTTCATTTACAGAAAAACTTGGCTAGGTGATGCTATATCATCCCAAACTTACCACAAGACAGGCATTTTTTTGCAATGCTTGTTATGAAGAAAATGTTTTTACATATGCAATTTATTCAGATGCAAATTCCATGAGAGATTAAGTGAATAAAACAAATGTGGGTATTTCTGCTGTTAAAATTATGATCTGTATCTGTTTGTCTCTAACATAACAGAAATTCCCAAAGATTCAGATGATATATTAAAGCTCATTCTTGATCTACCAAAAGTTAGTTTCAAAGTTCTGGATGACTTGTAGAGTGTCCCATAAAACCATGGTAAAATCAGATTTATCCCTCTCTTTGGACTTCAGTTGGAGGCAAAGTATTTCCTGATATCTCTGCAGAATGCAACTAAATACTGAAATACATTTGACCTTCATAATCCACAGGGAGACAAATTCTACATTCTCAGGATAGCAGAAGGCACTCAGGTAATGCTCAGAATATACATATGTATTAATCACCTGAGAGTGCAGAGAGGTGGTGAATTCATTCATATGTTGTAGACAGCTATAAAATTCTTGTTTTATTTGGTGCTTTAAAAATAATATCTAAAAAGCAGTTAGCCCATATAGAGGTAATTTTGTGTTTTATTTTTTTGTGTGTCATTTTATCTTTCTGTTGTGATATTGATTTATATAATATGCCAAAATTAGAAAATCTGTACTGAAAGAACAGCAACATTACACACAAAAGCTCTTAGTTCAGGCATTCCTTAGCTTCTAGGTTTACCCATGGGACTTTAAATTGCCTCTATATTTTTTCTTTTTTCTGCTCTTTGGCATTACCTTTCATTGCATTATAATTTTTCCACCTTATCCTGCCACCTTCAGTTGATATGATTGTCAGTAGTCTCTAGTATAGCTATTAAATATTGAATCTAATCCTTGCCTTTTAGTGTATGAATTGCTAGTATTTATTGCATATTCAAAACGGAGATTGCTATTCCTAAATACATGGGGAGAAAAACCCTCTTATTACATAATTCTGGGTGCTGCCTTTGAGGTGTTATGGACCATCACTTGTCCAAAGGAGAGCTCTGTGGACTTGTAACATGCCCCTTTGAACACTGACAGTTCAAACTTGGGTTTGTCCTTCCAACAAAAAAGGAATATCTTTGAGAGGATATTTTTTCAACATGAAACATATGTGCTCTTTAATACACACTCACAGGGAACAGTTTCCTAGCCTGGGACACTTGCATGTCTCTTTACATGCAGAGCTGTTGCAGACACAGCTAGTTTTGCTAGACCTGGACATAGGAGGAACTACAAATGGGATGCTTCTGTCTCTCAGTCTGCAAGCAACGTAACCTGACTAGCCATCACAGAGTCTACCCGATAAGGCTCTGTGCACAACACAGACATGGAAATCGGGAGTTCAGTCTCTACTTTACAAGTTAAAGAAGCACCTGGGATATGAAGAAAAGTTTAATCCTTCTTTTTACCTTGTTTATAACCACATCCTTGCTTCCCCATTTAATACTCAAGCTACCAGCCTATAACTTGCAGGAAAGGGCAGGGGGAAAGAACAAAGTAACGCATGACATGACAGGAGGATGGAAAGAGTGAAGAGTATGTGTACTTTGCTTGACAATTTAACACTAGGAAACCTGCATGGAAAGCTGTTACCTTGTCTGTGAACCTGCAGTGAAGGGTGATGCAAATTGGCAGACAGATCACAGCTATTTGCTAAACAAATAAGAAAGCTAAACCTCAGGAATCAGTTGTCTGGTTCTTGTAAAGATGCATGCTGCCATTGCTAAGTATCTTTTACTTCTTTAGTTACCTCTAATCAGCAAGGTTTCCCTGCATTAAAAAGAACCTTATTACATTAAATAATCCCATTCTAGATTCCTGTGTCTGGAAATGCTAATTTAAAAGTTCATAGATTTAGCGATTACCGCCTTTCTTGACCAATGTTATTTAAATGTAACATGGCTGATTTCATTCCCTGTGCTGTAGTGCTGCATGGCTTCTGGTCAGGAACATCGTTCAGCTGATATTGGCTCCAAGAAGTACTGAATCACACAGTATAGGTATCTTTTTAATCTGTATGTTTATATCTGTATCCATACCTATATTTACAACTCTTTCCAATACATAGAAGTAGTATTTCCTCATAAAGCAGGACTAAATCAGTTTCCCTTGAAACTCAGAAATATTTGTGGTGGTTTAGAAACCAGAGGCTCCTCCTCTGACCCATAATTTTCAGCCTGATGTAGAAAAAAAACCCTTAAGGGCTTAGTTTGCAACATTAAAACCAGACTAAAGAGAGCCCTTCCAGTTAAAAAGTACAGGCAATCACAACTGCAAGTGACCCAGGAGAGTAAATCATAAAGTTCTTCTTGAACTCTGGCTTACTGTTCAGTGTTTTATTACTGCGTATCATCTGAGATATTTTTGTCTACTTAGTATTACAATTAATAAAAATCATTATACAGAGGTAACTAGGTGTCAGATTCATTTCCAGTTAAGAATGTCTGTTGATTAAAAACTACTTTACAATGACATTAAGCTGCAAGGAATAAGTAAAAAAAAAAAAAAAAAAAAGAAGAAAAGGCATAAGCCCAAGACACGCACTGCCAGTCCCCATAGATTTAAACTTAATTAAATGAGAAAACAGCAGGACTTCTTTTGCTCACACAGAGGATTCCCAGAGCTATCCCACAAATATTATTCAGTTATTGCAAGCCATGAGCCCAGCTTGGTATATTGTTCTGTCATTAATGCTGCCAGTCATTCCCATTAGGTCTAGTATCTAATATGCCATGCTGCTGCAATAAAAATAAAAAGCCTTGGCCTTGTACTAAACATGTTTTGAGGATGCAGCCTAGGTAATCACACCAGTTTATCCATTTATTTACACAGTAAGCTGGTTGTTTTGGACAAAAAAAATTCAACACTGAAGTGATGCTATTTTGAGAGGTGTTGGCCACCTGCTCCTGGATGCAACTGAGCCTTTCATTTTGTGACGTCTAATGTGGCATTGTCGCTATTTAAAATCAGATCTCCACAAAGTGTCCTGAACCCCTGGTGAGGTGAAGCAATGCCCTTTGTGTCAGCCCAGTCTTCCCCCTGTACTGGAGTAGACAGTCTCCAAGCAATATGGAAAAATACGACACGTACTCCCAGTGAATCTGTTGGGTTTTTTTCCCAAAGTATGAGAAAAAACCTGACATTGCTTCCTAACCCCTGCAAATCATTTGCTGTCCTTTGAAGTATGGAATTATTCATATGACATTTTATCTTGTCTAGCTACCAGCACCCTCAAGTCCAGTTTTCTTTTCTTAAATTTCATTTTTAATACTTGTAGGTTTTCTGTTCTCAAAGATGAATTAGGAAATAAATGAGCCCACAGACAAAGCTGAGAATACACTATATAGCAGTAACATAAAAAAATGAACATGAAAATGTCATCATCAATCAGCATCATCGCCAAATAAGATATGCTCTTGTTAATTAAGTTTTGGTGGGGTTTTTTTGTTGTTGTTGTTGTTTTGTTGTTCTTGTTGTTGTTGTTGTTTTGGGGGGGAGGTGGTGGTGGTTTTGTTTTGTTTTATTTTGTTGTTTGGTTTGTTGTTTTTTTTCCCCAAGAAATATGGCTTATAGTGTTGGGGAAAGAAACAAAAAAAAGCTGAAGAGATGAGGAAAAGATAGCAAAAACAAACCTCTAGCTCCAGAAAAAGGGCATTACTGCCTTCATAACTGCTGAGTCTTTTAAAATGGCCTGGTCTGTGCATGAGGAGCTGTCCTTTCAAGCAAGCACTGTAACTTTTTGAGCTTAAAGGCCATGCCATGTGTTCATGAATTTTAATGTAAACAAAATCAACTGCCCTTTTTTTTTTTCCCCACAGTTTTTAAGATCTCTCTTTTCTTTGTTGAGTGGGGGGAGGGGCAAAGGAGCAAAATGGCCAAAGTGTGAGATGCAGCATGCTGGTACATGCAGTTTTATCTCCAGCTGAATCCTATCCTCCATGCTCTAAAGATATCACATTTACAACAAAGAGACCTGAGAGACTGGGACCAAATAAGCACTTGGAGCACAGCCTTTCCAAACCGCCACTAAGAGAAAAAGAATGTGAAATGAGAGTAGCCCTTGGCTCTTCACAGGTTTATCTGAATTCGCTGAAGTACATGCTTTTGCTGCATCAATAAGCTTTAATAATAATTACTCATTTTCAAAGCATTTTTCACTTATTTTTCTTAATTCCAGTGAAGTAAGGAAATATTTCTGTCTTTGTTTTGTTACTTGGAAAGAAGCACGGAGAAGGTAGAGCTTGCTCCTTGCTCTGTAGCAATGTATTGACAGACCTTTGGCTAAAGTGTGGCAGCTCCAGCTCCGTACCAATTAGCCTCATCAAATATTCAGGCCAAGGTGACCTCTCAGAGGAGCTTGAAAAGGAGTCTTACAAAGTAGCATCTGCAGAAGATAGCAACCATTTTCTTACATCTTTTTTGTCCTGTGGATTCCTCAGTCACAGAAGGGAATGTGCTCCTAGCACTGCTACTTTGAAGGAGAGCTGATTTTGCAGGGTACCTCCCATCCCAAAAATCTTTATTTTTGAAGCTCTGCTGCTAACTAATGATGTTGATGCACCAAAAATGCCATCTGCCATTTCAGAACTGACACCTGCCCTGCACATAGTTTTGAGCATCTCATATGGTAATGCCAAAGACACATTCAGGCTTTTAATCTGAGCTACCCATCTTTCTCTCAATCCTACTCAAACATAACTTTTCTTCTAGTTAGATATTTCTGTACATACATAACTGTATAGCTACAGCAACATCCAGAGATATGCTTTGGGAATTAAAAATTCAGACTTCATCAATATTTTTGGTAAGGAACCTAACTCCTATTATTTTACAACTTCACTTTGAAATCTGCAAGACAAGAAGTACCTTCAGTTTATTTTATCACTGTAATTTAAGGGCACATATATTTTTATTATTTAAAACCAAAAACCTGGATGAATAACTACACTTTAAAGTCTAATAAAAGAAATCGTGTGACTAGTTTCAATACCTGCAGTATAATGGTCCTGAAACTCCGAAATTGTGATAAACATTGTACTTTCTTGTAGTACATTGAAATAATGTTACTATTATGAAAAATTGTGTTTATGCCACCTGAATTAATATTTGACGCCTTTGAGCTGGAAATGCCTCTTCAAGTCTGAAATTCTCCAAGAAATGACAGTCCTGTGACAAAAGCTCTAACTCCTTTTCACAATCTTCTAATGACATCTCTTCAACTATTATTATTTTGGTCCAAATTCCACTTGACGCAATCCATGGACTGAAATATGCCTAACTCCAGAAGAACACTGTCTTGAGTGAGCTTCCCACTGAAATTAAGGTTTTTTTTTACAGCCATGTGTTACCAGGTACAGTGCTTGCTCACCCTGCTGCATCTACCATGTATGTGCTGGAAAAGCCACTCAAATGATTTGTAACAAAATAGCTGAATATGTCTCTGCCAAGGATCAAGCTATACCACGCAGTACTGCAGGTCGAATTGAGGCTCTCAACAAAGCAAAATGCAGCAGCACTGTTTGTTTACTCTTCTGTAAAAGGACCACTCAAGAGTACAAAACTCTCTCCACTGCCATGACAGAGTGAAATTTCTGTGCTGTATCTTAATATCTAAAAGTTGAGATTATCCACATACACTCCTTTCTGTTAATCATTTTACTTTTGACATTTATTTTAATATTTATATATGTTATATATTAATGTTTATATACAACTATATGTTTATATATAAACATATCTTTTTGTTACCAAAACTAGTAACAGGCAAAAATTATTCTTGTTTCTTTTGTTTCTTAGTTTTGTTTAAGCTTGGTCAGGTTTGCTTCTAGGGAAATACCTGGCATACATAAAAGAAGGAGGTGGCAGACTCCACAATGTTCAGACCATGTGGGACACAAAGGGTGAGGAAGCAGAGGAGCCCTGGTGCAGTGGGAAGAATGCAGTTCCCGGGGTATTACTTTTCGGGCTTGCTAGATATTTAATGTTTCAGATCTTAAATATCAAAGTTACTCCTTTTTTTTTTTCTTCCTTCTTCTGAGCAAGCTTAAAAGAATAAATTTCAGTTCCAATCCCCACCCCTCCCATGGAGAGATTGTTTTAGTTCTGTGAAATGTTAAAAGTTGTACGTTATCTGTTGCATTGCACTTGTATATTCTGTTCATGAGAAAGGTTATACAGAATATAAATAAGTCTAATGATAAAAAGGCATTGTAAAACAATGAAACATAGAGCACCTGGTTTTAAATTACATTTGCTTCTCATTCCTGACACAAATAATGTTCAAAACACAGTACTTTTGCATAAATAATTTCCATTTCAATGAATCAGTGCTTGCTAAGGGGAAAATATTTACATCTGTACTTGTTCCATCAGCTTCTAGATTGCAAATACTGCCTCAAAATAACAACTAAGCAAAAAATCTTTTGGAAAGCTACAAAATGTTAAAGATTTTCTTGGCTAGAGAGAAAATCGGAGGGATGAGACACTCAGTGTGGAAGCACGGCAGCAATAAAATGCTGAGTTGACAAAAAATACTTCCATTCAGTTCAGCAATCCAAACTATTTTGGTTCCAATTAAGCAAAAGAGAAAAGGTAGAAAATTGGACAAAAAACATTGATAAAGATACTGATTAGCTCAACTAAAAAAGTCCAGGATGAAAAGGCCCAGCTATATAGGATCAGAGTTGAATCCTGTATTTGGAAATTACAATAACTGTGGAATAAAATAAAAGGTTCTTATATTTATTTTGGTTTTCACTGTTCTATCTTAATTTAAAATGTTTTGACTGAAAAGTCTAGGAAAAATTACCAGCAAGAAGTTCAGGTTCCATTTTACTTGTCAATTATTTAGTTATTTCATATAAACCCCCATGGCCGAACTTTGATCTCTCATTTTCCCTATTGAGATAATATATAATAATTTCATAAAGTGGAGCAACTGTTCTTTTATCCCTTCATCATATCAGCTGATTCACTATACCAAGAGATGGAACCATAAGTAGAAATGCAGTGTAAAATGGGAAATTGGTCTATTACAAATTCCTTTGTGTTGCTGAAGCAGTCTGGCAGCAGCCACTTCAGACATTCTGTCATGTCAGAACAGCCTAATCCACTTCAGCATTGAATGTATTTTCTGTTTGCTCTTCACTCCATTGATGCAATTACTACCCAATGGAATGAGTCCTCCAGGAAGAGATGATGTGGGTCAAAATGCAGTCTCAGCACTCCTTTAGCCCCAGTAGTCATCTTCAGGGAAGAATCGAAACAAACAAAAAGAAAGAATATTTAGCTGGATCTATCCATCAATGTATCTATATATCTATGTATTTATGTAACTATGTATCTATCTATCTATCTATCTATCTATCTATCTATTTTACATTTTGTTAAGAGTTCTCTAGTAGCATTTCAAGATGATCCTTATCCAGCTGCCATTAATATAGTATAGCTGTTATCTACTACGGAAATTTGATTTAATGCAAACATGCTGCTTGACAGTAACTGTAAGGAACTAAAAGAAGGCTGCTATTGAAATTGCTGATCCCTCTCTGCACCTGCTTTTTGCCACATTTTTTGTATTGCTCTTTTTTTTTTTTTTTTTAATTGGCATTTTAGGAATATGGGTAAGTGTTCAGCCACTGGATGTTAAGTCACAGTATGTGCAATGAATAAAACCCAGGCATAAAAATAAGGGTTATGAACAGGTGTGTATACTGTCATAGCAACAATGGTACTGTCTGCCCACTAAACAAAGTGTTCTTTATGGAAAACCTAATAATTATTTTCAATCTTACTGTACACCTTGACCTTAACCAAGGCCTTGACCAGATCTTGATCTTAACTTCTGTAGATTAGACCATCCTGGGTGGCAAACTCAGACCACCTTTACTGAAAAGCATCTACAGTATATATAACTTCAAATGATGTTAAGGGTATCTGTATTATTTGAGTCCAGTAACAAAAGTTTTTAATAGAACTAGTTAGGAAATAGTTTGTTCTGTTTTCAATTAACATGTCAAAATAATAGCCTCATGTTAACTTTTCAGTTAAAGAATGCTGGGTTTTATAGTAAAAAAATCCAATCAATTATTTTAGTCAGGTGTGTTGATTGCTAATTTTGTGTTCCCCTTGCAAATGTTTCATACTGTTAAAGCTTCAAAGCAGTACATGGAGCCTGATTTTCTGAAGAACATAGTTACAGAAACACAAATGTAAGTTTAGTCTCGTTTTATTCTCAAGCATCTATGTTTCTATTTTTATTTACATTTTATACTCCACACTTTTTTATTAGAATCATAGAATCATAGAATAGTTAGGGTTGGAAAGGACCTTAAGATCAAGTTCCAACCCCCCTGCCATGGGCAAGGACACCTAGCACTAAACCATGTTACCCAAGGCCTCGTCCAACCTAGCCTTGAACACTGCCAGGGATGAAGCATTCACAACCTCCCTGGACAACCCATTCCAGTGCCTCACCACCCTAACAGGAAAGAATTTCCTCCTTATATCCAGTCTAAACTTCCCCTGTTTAAGTTTTAACCCATTACCCCTTGTCCTACCACTACAGTCCCTAATGAAGAGTCCATCCCCAGCATCCCTATATGCCCCCTTCAGATACTGGAAGGCTGCTATGAAGTCTCCACGCAGCCTTCTCTTCTCCAGGCCGAACAGCCCCAACTTTCTCAGCCGATCTTCATATGGGAGGTGCTCCAGTCCCCTGATCATTCTCGTGGTCCTCCGCTGGACTTGTTTCAACAGATCCATGTCCTTTTTACGTTGAGAACACCAGAACTGTACACACTACTCCAAGTGAGGTCTCACGAGAGCAGAATAAAGGGGCAGGATCACCTCCTTCGACCTGCTGGTCCTGCTCCTTTTGATGCAGCCCAGGATACAGTTGGCTTTCTGGGCTGCAAGCACACACTGCTGGCTCATGTTCATTTTCTCATCGACCAGCACCCCCAAGTCCTTCTCCGCAGGGCTGCTCTGAATCTCTTCTCTGCCCAGCCTGTAGCTGTGCCTGGGATTGCTCCAACCTAGGTGCAGGACCTTGCACTTGGCATGGTTAAGCTTCATGAGGTCGGCATCAGCCCACCTCACAAGCGTGTCAAGGTCCCAATATTTGTTACTGATTTTGGTTGATACCATAATCTTTCATTTCTGCAGCATTTATGGCTGATGTGATGCAAGTTATTTGATGCATCTAGTTTGCAAGTATTTATTGGCACCTGCATTGGAAATGAAAGTCTGAACTGGTTTCTCTGGCAAGAGAAGTATCACAGTATGACAGTATCACAGTATGTTAGAGATTGGAAGGGACCTCAAAAGATCATCTAGTCCAATCCCCCTGCCGGATCAGGAACACCTAGATAAGGTTACACAGGAACGTGTCCAGGTGGGTTTTGAATGTCTCCAGAGAAGGAGACTCCACAACCTCCCTGGGCAGCCTGTTCCAGTGTTCTGTCATCCTCACTGAGAAGAAGTTTCTTCTCAAGTTTAAGTGGAACCTCTTGTGTTCCAGTTTGTAACCATTGCCCCTTGTCCTATCATTGTTTGCCACTGAGAAGAGCCTGGCTCCATCCTCATGACACTCCCCCTTTATATATTTATATGCACTAATAAGGTCACCCCTCAATCTCCTCTTCTCCAAACTGTAGAGACTCAGCTCCCTCAGTCTTTCCTCAAGGGAGATGCTCCACTCCCTTAATCATCTTAGTTGCCCTGCGCTGGACTCTCTCCAGCAGGTCCCTGTCCTTCTTAAACTGAGGGGCCCAGAACTGGACACAATATTCCAGATGCGGTCTCACCAGGGCAGAGTAGAGGGGAAGGAGGACCTCTCTCGACCTACTAACCACCCCCCTTCTAATACACCCCAGGATGCCATTGGCCTTCTTGGCCACAAGGGCACAGTGTCGGCTCATGGTCACCCTGTTGTCCTTTATTAGTATCTTTATTAGTTTATTTAATCTGCCAAAGATGTATCTATACTCTTGTTTGCTGCCATTCCACCATCCTTATTCCCTGAGTACTTTTCAATGGAGGTGAGGTACAGCACGAGGTCTGAGGGGATCAGTAACCACACCCCCCCAGATTTTTCATCTCTAGATCATTGCTCAGAAGCTCGCTTTTGACCAAAATCGTGACAGTTTGACAGCTGTTTGGTCATTTATACAAACTAAACTGGTGGCCTCCATCCAGTTGCTAGTTCAAATGGGCATCTGCATCCAAATGTTTATATTAAATTAGTACCTTTATATGGAAATCTCAGCAGAGTTGTCAGGTTTCAGTGTCATGGCGATTTGTTTCAGGAGCCACTCCAGTGTCCTGATAGTTCTTAACTGGGTTGTGCTGGGCTTCACAGGTAACTTTACACGTATTTCTAAAATTTGGGCTGCACATCTTCCAAAAATCTTTCAGTCTGTCTTTTCTGAGAAAGGTATGATACTCATCACAGCCACCATGCTGGTCCAGGGACCAAAACATTAACTTCTTGATTTACAACTCATTTAGGTTTTATTGTCTCAATCCCCTAGCTCCAAAATTCAGAAGAGGTAGTACCACTGAGAATAATGTCAGTAA